ATATATATATATATATATATATATATATATATATATATATATATATATATATATATATATATTTATTTATTTATTTATTTATTGGGAGGCAATATTCTAATTTCGAAATTAGATATTCTATTTTGGTTCTTAAATTTTACTCTTTCAACTCTTAAATTGGTTTCATTTTCACCCCTAATTTTTAAAAAAATATTAGTTTGGCCATACATTTTTTAAAAAATATAACTATTTTGGTATAGTATTATTTTTATCTAATCTAAAAAAATTAATGACGTAATAAAGTAAAGATCAAAATTATTGTTTTTTAGTTTAAAAACAAAATATAACAAACTGTAAAATGAATTTATATAATTTTTTAATGAGTTAAATAATAAATAAAGATTTTAATAAATATATATATATATATATATATACTTAATTGGTCGATCCGTTTTCTTTGATTTCTAATATTGTCCAATTTTACCGAATAATATCCTCAGCCCAATATTGAATGCCACGTGTCAGCATCTCATGGTTTAAATGCACACTACCCTTGCCTCAAGACCAGCTCAATTAAACGGAATTTCCCCAACAATAAAAAATAAAAAAAATAAAAAAAGTGGAAAAAAAAAATCCATTTCTTATATATATTGGTGGCCGCTTCGCCCCTTCAATCCCATTACCACCATCAAACTCCTCCCCCGAAATCATCCGTACTATCAAACCCTAACTTTTTGTAGAAAGGTCCGACCACAAATTTCCTCAACCATGGCAGTTTCAAGACGACTGGCCCTTCTCTCCCTCGGAACAATCCTTCTGTGCCTCTTGTTCACTAGAGCCGCCATCGCCGAGTCCGACTACGGCGACGACATTCACACCGTCAGGCATTCCTCCGATTCCGACAACTGCAATCGCCAGCAACCCTACAAAGGCGACCAATGCAGGGAAGAAAACGACGGCGTAGAGGATGAAGATTTTGATGACACCTACAAGATCGTCAATAACGTCGCCATAAGGTTATCGGCGTCCGGAAGCAAACTTCGTGAGGCGGAGGAAGAGGACGATCTGCCGGTGCCCGAGGAAGAGATCCGCAATCTATCGATAGTGGGGCACTGAGCAGCGGCGAGATCACTTTTTTTTTTTTTTTTTTTTCTTTTTCTTTTATGGTATTGGAGAGAATTTAATTTTTTTTTTTAATTCGGCAATTTATTTTCGTCTTTGGTTTCTTCGTCTTTCGGCATAAGAAACGTACATGCCGGCTTATCATGTACGGATCAGCATCCATTCAGCTAGTTCATTAAGCTATCGTAAAAATAGTTGGGAAGGAAAAATTATTGTAGTTTTCTTATTTTCTTATTTTATTTATTTATTATTATTATTTAAATGACTGGTGATGAATATTAAATTAAAAACTCACTTTAATTATTGATTTACTTTAATATGCACCTTAAAAAAAAGCTAATTAATTTTGAAGTTTTTTTTAGAAACTTTTAAAAAAATTAATAGAATATTTTTATTCTCGTATTGGTTGCCATGCCATAATTGATAGGGAGAGCTTCCCATAATTGACAGGGAGGTTCTCACACCTCCGTTTTGTTCCTCTCTCTCTGATTGATAGTTGATAGGACCTTCTCTAATTGATAGGGCATTCCCTTCTTTGACTGATAGGGCCCTCGTGGACTCTCTCTCATTGATAGGGCCCTCGTGGACTCTCTCTGACTGATAGGGCATTCCCTTCTCTAATTGATAGGGCCCTCGAGGACTCTCTGTGACATTACCCTCTGATTGATGTGGCCCTCAAGGACTCTCTCTGATTGACATGGCCCTCGAGGACCGTCTCTGGTTGACGTGCCCTCGAGGACCGTCTTTGGTTGACGTGCCCTCGAGGACCGTCTTTGGTTGACGTGCCCTCGAGGACCGTCTCTGGTTGACGTGGCCCTCGAGGACTCTCTCTTATTTAAAGAAATTTAGATTGTCAATAGCGGATTTGAATCGGTAATACGTGAAAACGTGTATAAATTGATATACTTATTTAAATTTAATAATTTACCATGTTTGGATGGAAATTTAATATTAAAATTAAAAAATTTATCTAAATTTGAGTGGTTAAAAATATAGAATTAAAATTAACATAAAACGTAAAATTGATTTTTAAAGTAATAAGGAAAAAGAAAAAATGAGACATAATTTTAGTTTCTAGTAGATTCCTTGGATTATACGCCAGCGCATACGTAATGTTTTCTGGACCGCCGTAATAATGCGCGGCGTTCTCATTCGCCTTCCGATACCCGTCGAGTAAATTCCCGCCATCTGCACAAGTCCGACATCCATTTTATTTTTCCAACTCTTACAAATCTCCTCTATTTTCTCATCGAACCAGTTCTTCGGCAATATCGATATTCCTCGAGCACAGGAGACAGCCAACTTCTGGTAAGTCAATTCATGTCTGTCTAGGTTTCGATTGTCCTTCCACAAGTTTTAAGACCGTGGTTTTGATTTCGTTTTGTTTGAACGGAATTCAATTGGTGAATTGAGCTGTTTTAGATTGGTAGGGTTTGTTATCGTCGCCTCTTGATTTCCCGGAGAATATATTATTCTATCTGGGGTGATTTGCTTCGAGAAGTAATCAGATTGTTCTGTTGTTCAGAATATCGTAATTCGTAGGTTCAATCTTTTCAAATTGTTTTCACGAGATTAGCGATAATTGAAGCGAGATTTAATTTTTGTACCTTTTCGATTTTCGATTTTCTCTTCGTTATTGATGTTTGACTAGTTTCGGGATAGATCGAGAGGAACTTCCATTGTCTGAAACCAATCGCTCTTCAATTTTCTAATAGTTACAGTGTTCATAATCCATTTTGGTTTTTGAGCAAACTCACAACATCAGTCAATACATTTATCTTACACTGCCAGATTCTTATTAAGATGAGAGCGAGAAGCTGTTGCTTTGACAATCTAAATTTCTTTATGCAATGTGTACTGAGTAATGAGTATCCGAATAAAAGTTTTTATTTCTTTCAGGAGAACATGGATCAGCAACACAGCATCTATAATATACCCGTCATATGGAGGGGAACAAAGTATATGGTGGAAATCAGTTCAGAGTCTACTCTTAGGGACCTCGGTCAGAAGCTGCTAAACTTAACTGAAGTTAAAGCAGATACCATTAGACTCATAGTTCCACAATATTCCAGCAAAAGCTCTAAAATGTTTCATCCTTTTTCTGATGAAGATGGATACTTGAATTTGCAGAAAATTTCCATTTTCAAGGTGCAATTCGTTTAATTATTTTTATAAAGATGAGTTGTTTAGGTCGCGCAGCTTAGCCACTTGTTGGTTTTTGATTTGATGCATTACCAGTTATAGTATTTAGTTGATGCATATGAAGTTTCGGATATAAAGTTTGCTGTTTTCTGGTCCAGTTCCAAGAATTTTTCCTTTCACTTTCAAAGCCACCAAAAATTGTCATTGTTCTGCTAGTTCGAGGTGACTGACTATCAACTCTGACTCCTTCAGGACAACAAGCCTATCAGAATGATGGGAGTCCCTAGGAATGAGGTAGATGAAGTTTTGAACAATGCTAAGAAAAATGAACGAATTGCTGGGTTTGATGAAGAAGAGAAAAGACAGAAGCAACGAATGTCAAGTAAGCCTATGGGCGTGCTGAAACTGCCAGAAGGACCCTATGTATTTTGTGAATTTCGGACCCTTCAAATTCCAGGAATTGAGGTGCTCTTTAGCGTATATTCAATAATTTTATATTGTATGCATAAACATTGCAGCAGGATTGCATTTTGTAGGGCTTATGCCCTTTAATCTGGATACAGATTTGCTCTTAAATATTTGTTTTTTAACTGTATTCCTTATAAGATTCCCTTTGGCTGTTGAGTACTGCATTAATCTACATGTCTTTGACTGGTGGTGAATGACACATTCTTTCATTGGCTGTAGTTGAACCCTCCAGCTTCAGAAGCTTTGAAAAGAATGCAAATGTTAGCTGCGGATCCTGGTATTGTTGCAATCATGAACAAGGTAAAGGAATGTCTAAATCTGGATGTATGTAATATATGATTAGCAATAAATAACCTGGTGATTGGCCTTCTTTTAGCACCGTTGGCGTGTGGGAATTATGACTGAGATGGATCCTGTTGGCTATGTTGGTGTGAGCCCAAAATGTATTCTTGGCGTTAATAAGGTACATCCACTTTAGTACGTGGACAACTATGGATATTATTTTCCAATTTTGATTTTTGACTATATGTTCTGATCAGAACCATGGAGAGGAGATATCCCTGCGACTTCGTACAGATGATCTAAAGGGCTTCAGAAAATATGAAAGTGTTAAGAAAACTTTACTCCACGAACTTGTGAGTACTTTTTGTTTTGTTTTTTTTTATACATGCAGAGGATAATTAAGTCCCGAATGAATCCCTGAACTTATTGTGATTTGCAATTAGGCACATATGATTTATTTTGAGCACGATGCCAACTTCTATGCTTTGGATAAACAGGTAATAATGTTTTTTATTATGAATTTTTTTCCTCATTTATGGCCATATTGTTGATTCTAGCTTTGCGTTCATTATTATTCCTTAACAGGGTGGTTTTTTCAATTTGATATTTCTTAGCTTAATGAGGAGGCTGCCACTTTGGATTGGACAAGATCAAAAGGCCATACGTTGGCTGGAATTAAGTATTCTCAGTATCATGAAGAAAGCGACGATGTCGAAGATGGCTTTGGTGTCTCACAGAAACTTGGTGGAAGTACGTCGCATCAGCTGGTTAATGCCCGTTCTGCTTCAGTTGCTGCTGCTTATCACCGTTTGACCAACACAGCAGATTTCAGTTCAAGAGTGTCTCCAGTAAGTGGAGAGTCGGATCCCAATAGTTCTAAGTACCAAAAAAAACTGGAGCCTGATCCTAACGACGGTGCCTATCAAAAGAAGCTTGAGCCTGACCCTGATGACAGCTCCAATGAACAAAACATGCTCAAGCCTGATCCCGACAACAATTCTAATTATGAAAACAAGCCCGAACCTGATCCTGATGATGCTATTGGTTGCAAAATTATAGAATCTGATGGTGGACCAAGATTCAATAGGAGTCTAGTAGTTCAAACCGATTTGAGCAGCAAGGATGTGCAGCCTGTGCCTTCTACTAACAGCAGATTGTTGGAAGCCACAAAGTTGTATGGAGAACCGGATCCTGATGATATGGGAAGCTCTTTGAACGGTAAAATAACTGACAAAAACCATTTTTCTCCAGGAATGCAAAACCTGGATTGCAACAGTTCACAAAGAATGGTTGTTGAACCTGATCCAGATGACTTGGGAGAGAAAATGAACACGTTGGGGTGTGGAAATGCTACTGGACATGATGAAGCCGATTGCCTAGAAGCTGGCTTAGTGGCAGATCAAACCCATTTAAGTATAAGCTGTAAAAAGCATGATGAGGAACCGATGCAGATAGAGCCTGATCCTGACGAAAGTTTGGTACATCAAGCGGATTTATCTAAAATGCCTGTTGACGAGCCTGATCCCGATGACCAAGAAATTCAAAGAATACAAGACTCTGTTTCTGTTGTATGCAATCGATTGCGTGAAGCTATTGGAAAGCTGCTGGCTGAACTTAAACCTTCTGAATCTTCAGCAGTTTTTCAAACTCTGTTCAAGATTGTTAAGTAAGTTCTACTGATTATGAGCGCAACCTCTGCTATTATTTTTGCGACTGGTCATTAGGATTCATTCAATATTGAATTGTTGACTGAAATTCTTCTCTTCTGCAGGAACGTAATTGAACACCCTGATGAAACGAAATACAGAAAGCTTCGCAAGGCAAGAGGACTAATTTTCCCCTTCTACTTCACTTCATTTCATGAACTATTCTCTCCCTCTCTGTTTTGTTCTGTTTTTTTTCTTTTCAAAAATTAAACTTGTTACCTTGAGCTAATAAATGATGCATTGCAGACTAATCCCATCATCCAGAAGAATGTTGCCAATTATAAAGGTTAGTTTTGTATGCATCCATATCCAGTTACTTAAAACAACAAAATTAGGGAATCAAACTAAATTACTATGATCAATTGTATCAATTCTTCTATATTTTTTAATGCAGCTGCATTGGAGATCCTCTTCTTGATAGGTTTTATTGAAGATGCACTGCTAGATGAAATCGGCAAGGCAGAAACATTCCTTGTACTGAAGCGCAACGATCCTGGCTTATTGTGGCTTGCGAAATCCACCCTTGAAACATTCAATGGTTGCATGTAGCTTGAACAACATATTTTCTTATATTTAACAGAACTGTAAACTAAAACGAGTGGTATAGTACTGTATACAAGTGGTGGTTTATTGTGTTCGACCTGGACTAGACAACCCGATATCAAACAGGGATGAGTCGCTGTAAGTATGCTTATTCAAATAATAAGAGGGTTGTTAATAAATGTTTCTGAATGGCTTTAGTGTGCCACTAGTTTGGATCTGATAACCATTTCCTTTAAGTTTATGGGTTTTTTTTTTCCTCAAATTTTTTTTTTTTTTTTTTACTATGATTTCACAAGGGTAGAGAAGTCCATGGGGCGGGGTCGAAAAGTATTCCCCATTCTCACCTCCTGTCTTCCACAAATCTCTGAAAGTGTTGCTCTCTCCTTAGGCTCCTACACATAATGAACATGTTAATTAAGTCGTGGTATTTCCTTCTATTCGTTGCTCATTAGCCAAAGCTTGCTTCCGACTCGGTTGCCATGTATCTTCTTCATCTCTTTTGGTGAGTGAAGCTTTTGATCCCCCTCCTGCAGTTCATGATTGAAGATTGGTCGTTACTTGTAACTCTGTTCTATTATATTAGTTCTTTATTGAACCGAAAAAAATAAACATATTCGAAGGAAGCAAGAAAGAGATATATATTTTTATTTTACGATCTTTAGCAAGCTGTTGAGATGGCCGAGTTGGTCTAAGGCGCCAGATTAAGGTTCTGGTCCGAAAGGGCGTGGGTTCAAATCCCACTCTCAACAATTTTCATTTTTTTTCCACTAACTTTAGAACAGAATCGAATCGTTTAGAAATGTTTTTTTTTCCACTAACTTTAGAACAGAATCGAATCGTTTAGAAATGTTTTTTTTTCCACTAACTTTAGAACAGAATCGAATCGTTTAGAAATGTTTTGACGCCTTCTTCCCTTCTCCTTCTCATTTCCCCTTCTTTCTTCAACCCCACAACTTCGGCATCCATTTCCCTTCCCTTCCCTTCCCTTCCCTTCCCCTCAGCCTGCGCCACATTGCAGAGCAAATCCTCACAGAACCCCAATGGAATTCCAGCTTCCCCATCAGCTCCAATGGAGGAACCATCACCTTCTTCTTCAAACCATTCTTCTCATCTCTCTCAAACTCCCACCATTCTTCATCCATTAACTCATTCAGTTTCCTCATTTTCCTCCTTTTGCTCGGCTGACGCTGCAGCAAATCTGCGCCCAATATGCCAATTAGCTGCCTCTGTTGGTTCCCCGTCCGCCATAATTGCTGACAGATTGTGTGAATTTGACGCCCCATTTGTTCCTTTTCGTTTTCGCGTCTGTAACTGGGATTGGAATATGGCGTTTTCTTCATAAGGGGTTTTGATTTTCATCTCGAGTTCTTGTCTCTGGTTCTGACAATGAAGCTCCACTTCCATGGCTGTGGCTGTGGCCGTGGCTGTAGATTGGTTTGCGTCTATGGATGCTTTTTAGAAGATGGATTCGTCCTCTTATAAACCCCTCGTAAAATTCCCATTGCTCTCGATCGATCTTCCTAAACCCCTATCCGGAGATACCAGAATCTTTGTAAACTAAGATTCTAAACTAATATATATATATATATATATATATATATATATATATATATATTAAGAGTGGAAATTACTAAAAAGAGTGGTAAAATGAAAAGAAAAAAAAACAAAAAAAAGGAGAAGAAGAAATTGCAGGACAATTCGACACATCCAGTTCCTTACAACTGGAAAGGAGAATATGATAATAAGGGTACAACATAAAGTCCTCTAAAATACTGGAAATTACAATACCGCATCCTACTTAAACAAGAAACTTACACGCTGCATACAAATGGCGAAGTAGAGCATTTATTCTTGAAGGAGGATTTATCTCTAACGTTGTTCTACTTTGCAACTTTGTACAACATAAGTGTTGTTTTCCTTGCGATGCATTGTTTTATTCTCCTACATTTGATTTGGATGAATCCGAACTAGCCTAGATCCCCGATCCAGACAGTCGGCGCTTGGAGGCGTTGGAAACGGAAACCTGACCGAGCCTGTCCGCCTTGGCCGGTACAAGTCGTTCGTTGGGTGGTATATAATGTCGCAGCCATTCCCCAGTGTAGACCTGAGTTCCATGAATGAACAGAGAATAAGGTTTAACTGAACTCATAGCTAGCATCATACCAAGTTTCGTGCTATCTAGTCTGAGAAGATAGTTTACAAAGATCTGGTGAGAAGAGAACTAACCTGTTGAGGTCGAATTATCTTAGTGTCGGGATCATCCAGCGATTCTCGCCAATGTGCCAAGTATCCAGCCATTCGAGGGATTGCAAACAGCACAGTGAAAAATTCAGGTGGAAATCCCATAGCCCTGATCAAACACGTCATCAGTTATCGACTCCTCAAGAGACGGATCACTTGCATATCTTCATTAGAAAACTAAAATATACCTTCCTACCTATATATTAATCCGGAGTAAAAGTCAACGTTTGGGTATAATTTCCTCTTGACAAAATACTCATCTGAAAGAGCAGCCTTCTCCAGAGCAACAGCCACCTATATGGCACCATAATCATTGTTAAACAATGCTCAAAGAGGAATTGCTTCTCGCTCTTAGAGAGTGTAAGCAGATCGCATTTTCACATGGAAACAATTGTCAGACAAATACCTCAATGAGAGGATCCCGACCAACAATGGAAAACACTTCTTCGGCAAGCTTTCTAATAACCTTAGCTCTTGGATCGTAGTTCTTGTACACCCTATGGCCAAAACCTGACATCTTCCTTTTCCTGGAGAACTAAGTAACGTGAGCAATCTAACTAGCATTCCCAAGTTAACAAAACAAAAAATAAAGATCCTCGGGAAGTAAGATAAAGTCCATTGGTACAAAGTGGTGTCTACCAGTTCTTTCACACTACAAAAAGAGAACAACCAAGTAAAAATTTAACTTATGGGCACAAAGTGGCAAGTACCTGTTTTTAACACCCTCGATGAATTCTGGAATATTATTAACAGTTCCAATCTCACTTAGCATTTTAAGCACAGCCTAGAATCATCAGGAAAACAAAAGAAATGAACCAAAACAAATCGAGAATGTCACAAAAGAGCAAAGTGGTAGTGTTTAATCCATGGAGAGAAACTAGCTGATTCCAATCGCTGGGGGAAATTGCTTTTATGCTTACCTCATTGGCCCCACCATGAAGAGGGCCATACAGTGCTCCGACAGCTCCAGAAAGAGCAGTGAACACATCAACACCACTGAAAAGCCATAAAGAGAAGGGATCAGACAGGAATAATAGATGCCCTAATTTAGTCAGGACATTGGTACAAAAGCTGTCTACCTTGAAGCCAGATGGCGAGCAGCAGATGTTGAGCAGTTCATTTCATGTTCTGCATGAAGGATGAATAGAATGTCGAGGACTCTAGCAAGCCGAGGATTGGGTTTGTAAGACCTATTACCCCTGCATAGATAAAAGTCTGGATCAGGCCCAAAGCCTTTGTTTTTCTAGATCCTGGATAGCAAGTACAATGCTATACTACTCACACAAGTATTCAATTTAGCAAAGGTAAATAAGATGGCATTTCTATTACATAATAGAACCTGTCCTCGTATATTAATGAAAACAAAGATGTCTAGGCAACTTACAAAGAATCAAGCATGTACAGGAAATTCTCCGAATAAGAAAGATTGCTGGAAGGGAGAACTGGAGGTCTTCCAGCAAGTCTAAGATAAGCTGCTGCTGCAATGGTGGGAGCCTATAAATTCAGAGAAAATACCCAACAAATTAGTTGGTAGTTCCATACATCTAGAAGGAAGTACATGGAGGTCTCAAACTATAATGAACATTCTATAAAAAATTACATTGGCAGGCAAACCAAAAAAGTAATACTGGCATAACAAAAACTGATGAAATTATCTTAGCTGACAAAATGCTCATAGAAAGCATACCTTCCCTATAATACGAGCTATTTGTTTGTCTCTCACTTGCTTAGACTTGTAAAGATCTTGTCCCTACAGCAAAACAATGGTACACGACTAAATACAAAAAAACCTTTCACATCACAAAGCCTTAAAAGATAGATGCACAGAGTAACAACGACATCATGAAGCTTTCATCAAGAGTTGTACAGTTATTATGTTAGTTTATATAGATTTTTTTATCAGCTTTCTTACGTTTTTATATAGTATTTTCCAATTTTCTTGTAATACCATATAAATCCAAAATCAGGTTGTAATTGGGACTTCTAACTGATGAACATGTGAATTTTACTTCAATGAAGGTTTCTTCCTTCTCGAGATGGATTTCCCATCTATGCGTGGCTATTGATGCCATTTTAAGAGAATCTGCTGCATAAAAAATAACTGAAGTACGATGAACTACATATATAAGTTATTCAGTTAAAGTAAAGACAACATGCAGTTTTAAATGTTAATTGTATACAGAAAGTGAAAAATAGAACTTTCTCCACAGTATGCCCTAAAAAAAATTTCTAGAAGAGCCACAGCGTACAAAATAATCAGTTCAAGCAGGTATAGTTTCTCGTTCTCATTAATGTTAATTAAACGAAAGTGGCACTTGACTTTAAAGCTGGGTTGACAGCTTCTAGAAGGAGGGGGAAGGAGGGACCCAAGAACCCAGGGAACTTCCCCTTTTTCATTTTATTTTCTTCATTTTTTAATCTTTTCTTGAGAGAGAGCAGTGGATGAGTCAAGAAGGAAGAAATGAAATAATTGGTCCCTTAGTCTGTCTTTCGATTAAAAATCAATATGAGCCTGATCTTTAAAATGGAGCAGAACCTTAATATACAATAAAAACTGAGATCCAAAAATATCAACTTACTCTAAGGGCAGGATTGGCATCTGGATGAAAGACAGATAGAGCACTCATTGCACTAACAAGCACACCCATTGGATGTGCATCATGAGGCATTGCTTGAATAATATCCTATTGAGATAAGAGAGAACTCTATCAATAAGAAGCCCTTCAGACAATGAAATTTATATAAAGAAATATGTGTAGGAAAACTCAATAGAACAATGCAATCGCACCAAAAGTCCCTGCGGTACAGCCGAATGCTGAGAAATAGCAAACTCCCAGTCTGCCAATTGACTCTGAGAAGGCAAATTCCCATACACTGGAACAAATCAGGCATTACATCAGCGAACGAAATATGAAATATCATACACAACCACAATGATTTTAGACCAACAAAATAGTAAAGTGATAGCTCCTCGAAGGCTTACTCAAGAGGTATGCAACTTCCACATAGGTACTACTCTCAGCCAATTCCTCAATCGGGTAGCCTCTGTACCTAAGAATTCCCAAGTCACCATCAATATAACTGATCGACGACCGAACTGGAGCCGTGTTGAGATAGCCTGGATCATACAGCTTAAGCCCCTTGTCATTTGGTCCTGTAGTTATCTACAAATATTACGAGAAAAGTCATTAAACTAAAATCGGTGCCTAAATAAATAACACCACGAAGATTCCAAGATATCAAACAACACAAGAAAAACTTCATCACGCGCATCTGACCAGCCTCAAGTAAAATCAACAACCAAACAAACGAATAAACCGATTCAAATACGGGAAAATATATTACAGATCCATTAATTCGTGTACCTTCTTCAAATCGGTGGCCTTAATCGTGCCTTCTTCAGATACCTGGACCTGATACCTCTTTCCAGTTCTCTCATCTACAATCGTCAACGTACCCTTCACCAATTCAGGTGGCGCAACCATGGTCTGAGCTGACACGCAATGAGCCTCGAGGGACGAAGCCATCACCGGTGGTTCCAAGGACGCAGCGCTCAGATGCGCCGCCAGAACGGCCAAGCGATGACGAGCAACGTTCGAAGGCGACAATTCCATGTCGGTGGGCATCTGTTTTCCTTTCCGATCGACGGAAATGAGATTCTAAACGACTGAGATTACAACCAAACAATATACGGACAGGAAAGCAAATAATCTAACAATTCTCCGATTCCGCTTCTAAATTCTCTGAAGTAAAAAAGGCGATACAGTTTCTCTCAAGAACGAAGCGAAAATTGCTCGCATTTAAAAGGTGTGAGAAAGCTCTTTGGACAAGAAGAAGAAAAAAAAGGGCGGATAACTGTGAGCTCATGCCACGTGTACTTTCCTCGCTCCATTTTTTTCCTACCAAAAATATATCAACTAAGTCAAACTATTCCATAAAATCATCACAATTTAGTTACTAGTTATCTCATAATGATTAAAAAAAATGTAGATTAACATAAGACTAAATATACAAAAAAAAGCAATTTGATCCCAAGGGTGAGCTAACTTCAAAAATCCATCTTCAATTCGGATTGTAGGCTACAACTCACCTGCACAAAGTTGGAATTGCTAGTAATCGTCAATCTCCATACGGCGTTGAGTTCGTTCTGGGGCCTTGTACACACCGTCTGTCACACTATGAGAGCTTGCCAATTTGATATAAAATCGAAACATATCATAAAATAATTCTTTACAAGTAACTCTGTTTATATTGGGAAAAAAAATCCTTACTAATCAAGTAGTAAAATAAAGCTAATATTTCGAAGAAAAAAGATTTAGAAAAAGTAGTTTAAGTAGCTCAGCGGGTTAGAACAAAAGATTGCACATACGTCAATAGTTCAAATACGCTTCTAAACAAAAGATCCAAAAGACACATAGGCCGAACAAAAAAAAATCAAATCAAACCAATATCAAAGCCAAACAATAGATAAAATTTCAAATTGAATAATAAATGACCGATCTACAATAAGACGTAAATCAAATTTGAACCAAACTTGAGTATGTGATGAATTTAAAGACATTAAAAATAACAATGATAAAGATAAATTATACAAAATTCTCTAAAGTTTTATTTATATAAAAAGTCTAGCATATGAAATAATTAGAATTAGGAAATTGCTTTCTACATACGAAATTTAGGCAAAGAATGTTATATTATGGTACAAGCAAGTCCAACACGTAATTTCCAGACAATAACTTAAAAGACCAAAATCTCAATATTGAAAAATTAATAAGATAATTGGTATTGACAAATATTTCAGAGGAAACCACGGGCCTTGATCAATAAATTCCAAACCATTAGATAATTCATAAAAATTAATTATTGATATTTATTTTCATGTTAATTTTCATATAATGATTCATAAAAATTAATTATTGATATTTATTTTCATGTTAATTTTCATATAATGATTCAATGTTACTATACTCACCCAATGCCACCTACGAGCGACTGTGATTGGCCGATCTTTGTGATGGAAACATGATCAACTTGATAAATCAACGGCCCCGATGAAGCGTTATCCGAATCCCGAGCAGCTATCGTCTAGAAAAAGTGGGGCCTGGTGATAATGGTCTTGGGAGACTCAACAAGGATAATGAAAAGGTAAGTACAGATATGGAAATAGAAATTAGAAATATATTTATATTAAAATTTTGCATATTATTATTTTACAATATCAAACAATTTATAATATAATATATTTATTTATTTTTTATTCTCACAAAAAAAAAAAACTGAATTTATTTATTTATCTTTTTTTTATTTTAAAACTTCAATTCGAATCTTTGTAAGCAAAATAATAAAAATGTTATTTTTCAAAGAAACAATATTTTGCTGAACTCAGTAAATCTAAGTACAAAGAATAGATTAGTGAAAAAAAAAAAACTTTAATTTACGCACTTCAAAAAGTACGCGATATCCATGCCTAAGCTAATATTCAGAGTAATAATTAAGAGTGAAGTGCAATTCAGAGCATGTTTTTCTTCCCTTTCCAGCTCAAAATTGAGATTTTCTTATTGTTTATATGAGATTGGAAGGCCCTATACGCAACAAAGAAAACAAGGTTTTTAAGGGCATGTTTAGAGGGAAGTTGATTAAGGGTAACTATTCAGTTTCAGGGCAAAATTAAGACTTGTTATGTGAGGATTAAGATTGTACCTTTGTTAGTTTGTTTGCTGGCTGATTTTTGAACCAAACGCGATGTAATCTACACTGGTGTCATCTGAAAGGGACCATTGCCCGGTTAAGGGATTGCACACAAATCCAGCCATCTCTTCACCTGAAACAACCAGCCATACATGAATTGGGTGATGCGACAAGAGAAAACAGCGACCGCTGAAGAAGGGTGAAGTAGAAACATAAAAGATATGGATATTTATGCATTAGTCTTACTGAAATAGAGGCGCGTTGGAATATCAGAACCAATTCTTCAGGGGTAAGGAAGCTCAACCATTAGAATTCCCGGGACTGTATGTGGTAAGAAAAATATATATTAGTTTCACTAGATTGAATACCATATCATATCTCGAATCACTGCTCAAGACCATTCTATACATATAATTTTACTCTAGGAATTCTAGGGAGGAATTCTGGTTAGTTAATCCTGTGTAACTGAAAGAACCAGAACCCATCAATAGGAAATCAAGTTTTGAACACTACTATCCTACATAAAATGAATATGAATGAATATGCAAGCAATTGCCTAATTCTTAATTAAAACTATGACTATTCTGTAATAGAATGGTAGTAGTGGTTCTTCCTAAAGAAAACTAAAAAGGTTACATAACTACATGGATTACCAAAATAGAAAGGGTTCAATGTAGAGTCAGTACTCAGCCATCATGATAGTTACTGGAACCAATGTGCCTAAATGATCCGGGATAAGAGGGTGGAGCCCCACGTCGACTAATTAAGGGGTTGATCATGGGTTTATAAGTAAGGAATACATCTCCGTGAGCCTTTTTGGAAAAACTAAAAGCAAAGTGGACAATATTATACCATTATGGAAGGTCTGGTGAACTACTTAAAATGCCGGAAAAGACTGGATCTGATAAGTGAGACTCTCGTAGGATTCAATACATGGAATGGCTTAAACTGCCCTTCAGATTCCCACCTGAAAACCAAAGCTCCCCATTCTTTACAAATTTTACCAGGTGCTTTAATCCTTACTATGGCATGAACTATGATCTAGAATGAAATATATTCAAAGGGCACTGGCCATGAACACGATTAATAGCAAGACGTGGATGATATCAGAGACACGTTCACAAAAACACATATGTTGCAAACTTTGAGAATTCACATATTATCCAGCAACAAATGAGATATTCACACATACCGCCATATAAATAAAATGACTGAAAAGCTATTGTATACTTTTTCTTGCTTCACCAAATTAGAGACTGCAACACACTAAATATCAAAAGAATTCATTCTTATTTATAAGAGGTCTCTGCTTGGATTGGCACTAGATATATGATCCTACATAAGGATTAATAAAGGTTATACATGCCATCTATATAGAACCTTCAAGCCTCGCGATTCGATATGTAGTGATAAAATGTTATGAAAGTTTCGTTGCACAGTCGTGTGTGTGTAAAAGAATCGGACCAGGTGACAAAGGATTGATTTCCAGTAAAATGAAGGAGAGAAACCTAAAAGATCTCCAACCATCTAAATATCATATTCCCTACATTTGCAACAAGAATTAAACCCTATACGCTACCAAATACTTTCAAATTTCTAAATCGCCAACTCTATTTCTTCAACGAAAAGAAATCATCTAAACAATGCATCTATTTAGAGAATTCGAGGATTACTAGGTTTCGGCAATGGCGGAGAATCTGGAAAGCTCGAGTTGATTCACAGACAAGGTAGCCGTAGCTTTTCTGACTATTTTCTCAGGACAATGCGCACTTTGCAGCTCTGCATTTTGAGAAGAACCGTCGGGAGAGAGCGGCGGCAAGGACGCATCAGAGAAGTGCCTGATATGGAACAGACTTCAAGGAGCACGATTTGGATGTAGGTAACAGGAACTCCGATGCCATGGAAAACGGTGGAGCTTAGAGCTGGTCGATGCGGAAAGCCGCGAGCGGGAGAAACTGGAAGGTGAAATTTGGAGGGAAAGGCCCTTACACGTGAAATATTAAGGCCTTACATATTTACATTTTAAAAGCATTTTTAATAAAAAAATAAATCAATTTTACCTCTAAATAACAACACAAATAATATTTAATAGTATTTACATACAACTCCACTGAGCAAAACACACGATTAACTATAAAATTCGAGTCACCGAAAATTTCAGTTATTTTAAACTATTCTTATCATATATTCAAGATTGCTCTTATTCGGACATGGTCTCGGTTAATTTATGTGTTCTTTATTTACTCGGGTGTCACAATTTATTTTCAAACTTTACTGGATCACTACGCTAATTTCTCAACCAAGTCACCAATATCAATGGGGTGAAAATGGCGTTACGAAAGACTTAAGACAAGATTTACTACATGCACTAACTCGTTCGATTACAATAAATTTAAACTTTTATCGAAACTTTAATGAAATAAGATAAATCATATAACCTAACACCAAAGTCGAGATCAAGGTATTAAACTTGTGATTTAGTAAGGTGCCAACATTTCAAATAGTTGGTAGATCGGAAATCTATCCCGACGAACATAAAATGGTTGAATTTTGTTTGAACAGCATTCATCAACAGTCATATTCCATTGCCATGAAAAAAGGGTAAGTTTCCATTCATATTATGTAAAAGTAAAAACAAAGTTCTGCAGTAAAGAGGTAACTTTCAGAAAGTGAAAAACTACAGAGAATAAGAGAGTAATGATACTATGTAACATATTTTTACTTTTTATCACTGTTTGTGAAATGTTAAAGTAAATTTTGTTTTGAGTTTGGTGGGTGCTTTCCAGCTCCTACAAAATTCAAGTGTCCTTTTGGAGTCAGTTTCTTCTGATGGTCTTGTTTCATCAACCTCTACTGTTCCTGTCCCAATGTGCCCCACTTGTTTGCTTTTTCAAATTTTCTAACTCCTCTTTTTCACTCATTTTTCTTGTTTTTTTTGTTTCGTGGTGTAATCGTACAACCTACTGCTAGTAAATACGGTCTGTTTTGGCCTATGACGTATCGTCATCAGCCTCACGGTTTTAAAACATGTGTGCTAGGGAGAAGTTTTCACGCCCTTATAATAAGTGTTTTATTTCTCTCTCCAACCAATGTGAAATCTCACAATCCACTCCCTTGGGAGCCAAGCGTCCTCACTGGCACTCCGCCCGATGTCTGGCTCTAATACCATTTGAAATAGCCCAAGTCTTCCACTAGCAAATATTGTCCATTTTGGCATGTTACGTATCACTGTCAGCGTCATGGTTTTAAAACATGTGTGCTAGGGAGAAGTTTCCACATTCTTATAAGAAGTGTTTTGTTTCCCTCTCCAACCAACGTGGAATCTCACAATCCACCCCTTCGGAGCTAGCGTCCTCACTGGCACATCGCCCTGTATCTGGCTCAAATACCATTTGTAACAGTACAAGCCCACCACTATCAAATATTGTCTATTTTGGCTCGTTATGTATTGTCGTTAGCCTCAGAGTTTTAAAACACATATGTTAGGGAGAAGTTTCCACTCCTTTATAAGAAACGTTATGATCGGATGGCTCTCGTGATAATACAGTGACAAAGTTTGGATCCTTCATTGGGAAAGCTGCAGCCTTGTAAGGGTTTTAAAGAAATCAGCACAGGCCATGTGTGATCAAATGAATGTCAGGAGTTGTCTCGCTTTGCACAAGCGTGTGGAACCATCTTCAATAATGGCACTGAGAACGACATGTTGTTTTGGAATTTTGATAGCAACTCTTATCTCTTTTTCACAATGTCCTTTGGATATTCCAACTTTGACTTGACCCATTTTGAATTTGATTCTTTGGTTTCAAGTTAAATGAAGAAGTCATTTGAAGCAGAATGAATCAATTTAAACAAAAATGAGATCATAATGGAAGATTAAATGATGCAAAAACAAACAAATAACAAAAGCAAAAGGATTACAGAAGCTTGATTTAGCAGTAGATTCGTTCATTGGTTGGATGAATGAGCCATCTTCCTGATTGCTTCCACAGACATTGACACCAATTTTCTGGGCAGTGGGTTCAGAAGGGCTAAAGCAAAGGCCTGGATTGCCACTGAGATCCAAGTTCTTGCCCAGCCTTTTCAAGAAGCTTGAGTTGAAAGGCACAGCGCCTGTGAGGGAGTTTCTGCTGAGATTCAAGTGATATATATGAGAAAGACCACTGAATCCAACAGGGATTTGGCCACTTAAATGATTGTTTTGCAATGATAAAGTGGTCAAGTTTTTCAGGAGTGAAAAACTTGGTGGAATGATGCCAGAATAGCCACAGCTTGCAAGCCTGAGTTCTTGAAGTTTCATTAGTTTACCAACTGCTAATGGCAGAGGAATTTGCATTGGATTATCATCCATGATGAAGTATTGCAAGTTCTGCAGCTTTTCCAATCCTTTTGGGAAGTGCCCACCAAGTTGGTTGCTGCTCAAAGCCAAGAACACCAAGGAATTCACCTTCTCAATAGTATCAGGGATGTTGCCTGTGAGTGAATTGGAGCTCAAGTCAAGTTTTTGAAGCAGACCCAGTTGGCCAATTGAGGTTGGGATTGGTCCAGTGAGTGAATTATAGCTCAAGTCCAGTCCTTCAAGGCTTCTGAGCTTACCCAACTGAATTGGTATGGTGCCTGTGAGCAAATTGTAGCTCAAGTCAAGGTGCAGCAAGGACACCAAGCCGAAAATCTGAGGCGGAATCGTCCCGGAAAGGCAGTTCTGAGACAATGTGAGGATCTTCAAGGACTTAAGGGAAGAAAGTCGAGGTGGGATCGGACCGACAAGCGCCGGGTTGGATCGGAAGCTAAGCTGTTGTAAGGAGGAATTCAAGAAGGCTGTAGGGGAAACAGAGAGAGTGGTGTTGGTGTGAGTGAAACAATTGAAAAAGAAGAGAGAATGAAGAAGAGGGAGATCAAAGATGAATGAAGGGAATGTGGCAGTGGGTTTGCAAGTAGGATTAGGCGAGGTACCAAAGTGAAGCCTCGAGACATGAAGGAGATGACTGTTATTGGGAGCTGATATGCACTCCAAGCCAGGCCATGAGGCGCCTGGCTGACAAGGGTTGGGGTGAGAGAGCCGCCAGTTTTGATCGGAGGACAAGGACTCCATGATCTTGAAAAGAGTCTCAGCTTCAAAGGGAAGCATGGAATTGGGTGCTGCAACATTCATGGCAGCCATGGTTGAGGAGGAGGAAGCAGAGGGAAGTGAAAACAGAGGAAGAAGAAGAAGAAGAAGCAGAGAGTGTGGGAAGAAACAGAGCATTGCTGGGCTGTGGAGTGGAATTTGGGAGAGTGGTCAGTTCAAAGAGGAGTTGTTGGATTGGTTTATGGTATCATTTCGAATGGCTATCTGCGAGGGGGAGGATGTGATTGAAGTGATTCAGATGCTTATTTTGATTGGGAACTTCAAAATAAAACAAAGAGAGGCGCATGTGTTTCAGCTTTTTGGACACATAATATTCCATATATATTCTTGTTTCATCATAAAAACTTCACAAAACACAATTAGAAAAAGCTTAAAATCCTAACGTAATCTCGATTGTTCACGCATTTGTCACAACATTTTTTTAAAAGGCTAAGCGAAGGTTCCAAGTCTCCGAGTCAGCCCGTACTTTTTCAAAAAAATCTGTACCCATAGGCATACGGCCTGACAGTCCTTCCCTTTCCGCTAGGCCAATGGGGCATGTTGAAGATTATTGGGAGTGAGTCGCATTGGTTAATTTCATGGAAGATCATGAGTTTATAAGTGAGCAATACCATCTTCATTGGTATGAGGCCTTTTAGGAAAGCCCAATGCAAAGCCATGAGAGCTTATGCTCAAAGTGGACAATATCATACCATTGTGGAGAGTCGTGATTCTCAACCGACATACGGCCGAGCTAGGAGCTTCATGGGCATTACCCCATTCCACAATCAGAGGTTTGAATCTCCGTTAAAAAATGAGCAGATTTGATACAAAGTAGAAGTACAGAGATGTTTATTTAATAAACAAAAAGGAACCATCCGATTATTCAACCAGATTGGGATGAAGTAAATATCAGTACAATCTAATTAATCAATGAAAAATAAAATAAATACAGGATTCATTTATTGTCCCTCACTGCCCTTCGGAGACCACTCTTGGTAGTATACTCTCTACCCAACAAAAGTTACTGAATGTGAGCTTTGTCTCTTCACCTCCAGTTCCAAATCCAACAAAAAAAACCCTAAACCATCAAAGAAAAAACATGGTCATTCATACAAAAACGACAAGCTGTATGTATGTCCCAAATTTCATCAGCTCATATTCGCAACCACAACTCTAACATCATTTAAAATCGACAGTCTCTACAAGTTAAAAGGTCAAATAACAAATTTAGTCTTTTTAAACTTTAAAATCCGAGTCTATTTAGTATTTTTTAAGTCACAGAGCTTGCAAAGTTCTATAAACATATTAAACACGAACTTATTAGACACTTTCAAAACTTCAGAAATCGAAAACTCACCGGCAGTGGTAGCTAACGATTGTTTCCTTTCGGGCTACCCTACTTGCTTCAAGAACTTCCAAGTGTGCTCTGTTCCAAGGGAAAGTTTGAAATTACTTCCCAATTCAAAATATATAAATAAAAAGCGTAGAATAAAGATTATGTCACTCACCAAATATGAATGACTTATAAAAAAATTTGCATCCCAAAGTCATCAGAGAGCTTCAAATGACTAAGCCTATCATCCATCCAAAATATAGGCTTTAGCCTTGGGCTGCACGTTCATCTGTGTGAGGAGAGCTCTTAATAGAGCCATGGCAAAGCTCAGAATTGTCAATATTGTTAGCTGTCTTCGGAAACTTCAGTAGATTAACGTCCTCGGTCGAATGATAATTGGCTTCCTTAGATGTAGAGAAATGCAGTGGATGGCCAGCATCCATTGCACAACAAATATGAGTATCTACGACTTCGTTTATTGTATCGGATATATGGAGGCCATTAACCTCTTTCGGTGTGTCGCATAGCTTG